GGCGCGGGGGCAACACTGAGGGTTGCGATCCCGTTGCCGGACACGGAAAAAGACAAAAGACAAAAAAAAAATAATAATAATAATAATTTTGATAGTATATTTTAAGGTGATTTAATAATATTCTGAATGTAAGTGATGGGAGAAGGGCCACACACGACTCTGAAGGCACCTCTGCAGATCCAAAACCATGCGAAGCATGTGTGTGGCTCTCTGATGAACTTGATCCAGGGATAAAATCTAAACTACCAGAGAATTGATTTATGCCCTTGAAACTACCCACCGTGAGTACCTTTTCTCTCGACTGGGTAATAGTTGAACAGCAGTCAGGTCAAAGTTATGTTCTCTGGCAGAAAGCTTGAGCGTGGACGCTATTTTGCTAAGAAAGAAAGAGGCATGCACTTAAAAAAAGTCAACTGAGCCATTGTGTTCACCTCTAATATGTAGCATGAAGGAGAAAGAAAAAGCATTTCCAATGAGAAGGAAGATTCCAGATAATCACATTAGCTGTGACTGATGATAATGTAACTAAGGCCTTAAGAATGAATGGAAAACCTGTTAGAATGAACAAGAGGGCCGGCCCGGTGGTGCACTGCTACAGTGCGCCGCTTGGGAGTGCGGTGGCGCTCCCGCCGAGGGTTCAGATCCCACATACAGACCAGTTCCCGCTCACTGGCTGAGCGAGGTGCGGGTGCAACACTGAGGGTTGCGATCCCGTTGCCGGTCCCGGTCCGGTACGGGCGCGACACTGAGGGTTGCGATTCGTTGCCCGACACGAAAAAAGACAAAAAGGAAAAAAAAAAAGAATGAACAAGAAAACTCAACAAAGTAGCACTATTCAGAATAACACTCCCAAATCAATAAGTTCCAAATGAATTAGTGACAAATCACTGGGAGTCGTTATGGAAAACAGTTTCGCTTACAATAGTGACAAAATAAAACATCTAGCAATAGTCCTAATGAGAACAGTAAGTATGATTAAGAGTAAATGTAAACGTGCTGAGAGGCATACAACAGAGAGGTCTGAATAAAGTGAACCCATTTTCCTCATCAGAGAGCTAGACTGAATGATGGTTCTTTCCACGTAATGAGGAGACAGTGTAATTTCAACCCATATCACAATGAGCTGTCTGGGAGAACTGGACAAAGCAGCTCAAAATTCACTAAGCATGACAGACAAGAATAGGTAGGAAAAATCTTAAATGGGAAGTAATGACAACAAATTTTCCTTACAGATAGTTACATATAATTGGTACAGTAATTACAAGATGGTGAGATTAATGAAGGTAAAAAGAGCAATGACACATAATAGTAACCAAGAATCAGACCTGGGTGTATAAATAGTAATATATGAAAAAGGAGACATTTCAATTTGATGGTGTGTGAGTGGATTTTTTCAAAAAGTAGTATGATGAAATATTTTGATATTCAAAGGGAAAAATCAGTTTATATCCCATTCCCAAGCCAGACACCAAAGAAATCTAAGTTGGATTAAAAAATAAAAAATAAAATATGGAATTATAAAAAATAGAGGAAAATTTAAACATTTATCTGATTCATGGATGGAAAAAGGATTTTCTAAACACATGCAATTAAAGAAATAGATCTGAACACATAAGAAAATCAAACTTTTTCATGACAAAATATAAACAAAATTAACAGAAAACAAAAAATGGAAAGATATTTGCCAAATGTATGACATAGGATTTAATATATTTACTGTAAAAAGTACTCTTACAAATCAGTAAGGAAAATAGAATACTCCTATAGAAAAATAGACAAAAGACACAGTCACTCTATATTAGTGTTAAAAACAAATTACTTTTTTTTTTTCTTCCTTTTTTGTCTCTTTTTTACTGACCGGTAACGGGATCGCAACCCTTGGTGTTGCGCCCATACCGGGGACCGGCAACTGGATTGCAAACCTCGGTGTTGCACCCGCACCGCGCTCAACCAGTGAGCGGGAACCGGTCTCCACATGGGATCTGAACCCTTGGCGGGAGCGCCGCCATGCTCCCAAGCGGCGCACTCTCCAGTGCGCCACCGGGCTGGCCCCAAATTACTTTTTTACTAGTAGGGAACAAATAGGGAAATATAAACAAAAGTCAACGAGATTTTGATAGTGGGGATTTAGGCAAACAGTCACTAGTGGACTGCTGATGAGAGTTCAGACTGCCACAAACTCTCCTGGAACGTAGTAGTGTATATAACAAGGTGCAGACAGCTTTGCAAACGTTAG